AGTGAGGAGCCAACTACACCACCAGAGCTCCTGGGGCCTGGGGAACTGAGAGTTGAGCTGCTAACCACAAAGTCAGTGATTCAAGTCCACCAGCTATTCCGAAGGAGAAAGATGAGGCCATCTAGTCCTACAAAGATTGGAAGCCTTGGAAACCCCCAAAAGGTCATTTCTACACCATCCTCTAGGGTTGCTGTCGATCATAATCCACTCATTGGCTGGGAGATTTGTGTTTTGTTTTTCTAGGAATAGGAAAGTGACCAGGAAATTGGGAGAAATGTGATCTGTGATTTAGGATTGGAGTCTTGCTCTGCCCCTTAAGCTGTGAGACCGGGCGGTGGTATATAGCCTCACGGAGCCTCAATAAGATCATCATAAAATGGGAATGGTGGGAATAATAAGACCAAACCCAATCCCCCTGATCCATAGGGGGTTGTCATTGTTCTTGGGTGCCGTCCAGTCAGTTCTGACCATAATGCCCCTGTGTACAGCAGAGCAAAGCCACAGTGTTGCTATATCTGAGCTCATCATTGCAACCAGTGTGTCAATTCTTCTCATTGAGGGTCTTATTTGTTCCTGCCCCTCTACCAAGCATGGTGTCCTTCTCCCAGGAATCGCCCCCAAAGACCATCAGGGCCTCCTGGTAGTGAGGTTCAGATGTAATGTCTACGGAGACACTTGACGCACCAATAAGCATTAAAGCAATTGGTTTTTTTTCATTTGAAAAACATTCAACAAAGGCGTCTTTCTGTAGAATTTGACACATTGATATATAAAATACAGGTTTTCCAATTCAGTGTATGTGATGGGTATCCGCTTTTACAGCCTTCTGATGATGTGAGTTGGGTGGCGAAACAGGATTTAATCATAGGTCATCGTAAGTGGCCGCTCATTGACTCTGAGGAAAACTCCTTCAAACAATCAGACAGCAACGGTCTTGGTATGTAGTGTCGAGAAATCAAGTAAAACAAAACCTGATTTCCTCAGTACCACCTGGGGCAGGAAGGCAGCGTCCTATCTATGAGAATTGCTTAAAAGTCTTCCTTCCCCAGAGCTCCTGGCTCTGACCTAAAAAGCCCCTCCCTGCACCAAGATCAGGGTTCTAATATCCCCAGTGACACAACCTGCCAGCCATTCATAACAGAGAGCAGATCTCTAACAATCCCAGTCAACTCATCTTCGCAGGGGGCCTGGAACGGTGGGCTAAAATTAATGTCTCATGCTAAACTCACCTTTCACTTCCCATCACTTGTCCCCACCACTGCATTGTGTCGAGGCAGCAGTCGGGGACTTTATAAAGAACATTTGTCAGCGCTGGGATGATAGCTCTGGGCTGGCTCTTCCTTTATTTCCTTCTCCTTTCCTTAGCCTTTCTATTTTTAGATTCAAAGGAAGACGTTACCTTTGAGTTCATCTCCCAGGGTTAAGTGATACAAGATCCAATTGCTATAGAACTATTTTCCTTTTGGATCCTTCCTGATTCACAAAGACTCAATGCTCGATACCCCACACCCAGCTGGTTTAAAAATATTTTTTATGGCAGGCTGTTTCCAAAGAGCCACAAAAAATCCTCTAAATGTCCACGCAAAGATTCTGGAGTTTTCCCGTCTGTTCCGGTGCACACTGGCTGCGTGAACAGAGCCGATATGCCGGGAGCCTATACTCCGAATGAGATGATTTAGGGGGAATAATCCACAGGAGCTAATCTATATGTATTTACTGTTTAAACATTAGCAAGAGACAAGTGACATGACTGAGTTCCTCCTGATTGCTGTTCTGTGTGGCATCGTCAATAAAAAAGAGCAGCTCAGAAAAGGGAGAACGCATCACGTTTGCAGAGATTGTCAAGATTGCCTGGCCAGGTCACTTTGTTCTTTGATGCCATGTACATGGGTATTTTAGTGCTATGGTTTAAACAAATCTTACCAAGTTGCTCTAATGAAACTTTAGGTTTAGTTAAATGGATCATTTCAATAGAAGAGAGAAGCACAGTGGGCAGGAGAGAAAAGGAAGTGTGATATAGAACCCAAGGACCTGAGAGTTGAGTCTTGGGAAGTATTGACTGATTGGAATATAAAACTCCAACTAGCAGATCACACCACTTGCCAGCAAAGAAAGATGGGCTTCTCTAAGCTAGTCAATATTCTTTCATTGGTCCCATGTAAGCATTTCACCTTTGAGGTGAGAACATCATGGACTTATTTGTAATAATAAAAGTTTTCTTTTGTAAAAGAGGAATTTTGACTTTGCATCTCATAGTGGCCACCCTTGGGAGGGCGTTTGGAACTAATTTTTGAATATGACACTCCCTTAAAGAATGGGATTCATCTAAAACGACACAAAAGATGCTCATTGCTTTCTACGCATGTTTAAAAAGTCTCCATTTTGTTCTGGAAGGAATAATGGAAATTATACCTGGGTGGGAATAGGAGCGTTCACTCCTGATTCTGTCTCTCACAAATTATATGGCCGTGGAGAAGATAGAAAATTTCCCTTTGTATTTTTTCTAATTTAAAAAGAAAACTATCCACGCTATTCAAATTCCAGGCTATTTATAAGACTCCGACTGAAGGGCTCTGTGAGCATGAACGTCGGAGTTAAGAATGCTGTCCAAAGGGTTGGTGATGATCGTAGCTGCCATGTTTCAAGTGCTGACTTCATCGGTCCAGGATTATGCTGAGCAGTTTACACACACCTTGGACTCACTTAATCTTCCCATTAATCTTGCAAAGAAAGTCTTAACATTACACCTTTCTACGAAGCAGGAAACAGATTCAGAAAGGCTACATAACTTGCTTGAAGTTTGAAAGTGGGTCACCCAATAGGAAGAATAAACACTTTGTGAACCAGCAAAGCAAAGAAATTTTGAGGATGAAGAATTTGAATTATATTTTAGAATTTTATAGGTCTCCTCAAAAGCGAAAAATCACAAATCTTAGAAATGTTTACCCATATATTATGGTTTAATATTGAATATGTGTGGGGAAAGGCATTAAATATATCAGTGCTTAAGGTATTTCAAAGTTTTAATGCAGGTAATGAAAATCAGGAACCCAATCCCAATAAGCTGGCTCCAAAGCCCATACTTGTAACTGCTATACTGCACCATGTCCGATAACAATAAAAACGCATAACATACTAGGTAACAGTTACCCGTGATAATAACTATTATCAGAGGGAAGCAATGCATTAAAGAGAGGCTTAATCTGTTGTGAAAACACACAGGAAACAACCTATAATTCGGAACTAAGGATACAAAGAGATAGAGTCACAGCAAGTCTCGTTGGCTGTCCTACACATCTGAGGGCTTTGAAGTGACTGGCAAAGAGCTATCTCATTGCTAGCAGGAAATTAGCCCAGGGCAGGTGGTTAACATGAATTTATAAATCTTTGGAATTCCAATTGGAAACACAACAGACCCTACAGCAGCCCAGGGAACATATTCATGGAGAGCCGACTGCTTTTTTCCAAGCAAATGAACAGTTTCTGATACCTTGGGATATTTTGATCCCCACCCTCCTCCAGGGTTGACACAAGAAACATTTAAAAATTAGATCTATTAGTGTCTCGTCAATTTGAGGACAAGAATGCATAGCAGCTGTTGGCACCTCCAGCCCTCTTCAAAGGCTCAGATGTAGCCTCATAAGGACATCTGAGGGCCTTAGTCTTAGAAGTGGTAGGAACCTGACAATTGACCTGCAGCAATGGTTGAGCTATCTAGAAACTGAGATGGTGGATAAATTAGTTGGTGCTGCTTTTTGCTTGATATCTTGGGGGCCTTGGATGTTGTTTGAGGATATCCCACAATGCTTAAAAGCAGAATTAAGTTGGGAGACTCTAGCAGTTAAGAAAAAAACAAACAAAACAGCTACCCAGGCACTTTTGATTGGTATCTAAAGAAAGTTAGTGCTGAGTTAGTCATGAAAACACTATCAGGTGCTTCAAATCATTCAAGATTCTTTGGCCACAATTTGGTAATTCCCTTGGTGCATTTCTCTTACATCTAATAGCTAACTGGTTCTTAAGCTTCCAGAAATATACTTCCAGCCTTCTTGTCACTGCACCCATCTCACTATAAAGAAACTGGGAGGGGAAAAGGTGAGAAAATTGTGGGGAGTTTAGAATATAAGGGACAGGGAATTAGCTGCAGTGTTTTGCTCACCTTAGGGAAAAAGTTCTATTTTCTGCATCTATTGAAGAGCGATACAATTGTGGAGTTGTGAAATTTGCTAAATATTTTCCCCTTTCATTACGGGAATTCTAGAAATCAATATCTTGGGCTTTTTTTCCTGGGAGAAATGAGAAAGCTAAGGACTTATTCAAATGATCTCCTTTAAAGAAGACAACCTCTCTTCTCATTGCCCTTGATTCAGCCATCTGGCTCGAGGAATTTGCTGTTGAATCTTCCTTGACTATAAAATTTAAACAGATATTTAACCCCTCTCACTCCCAGGCTGGGATGTTTGCTTTTAAAATGCCTACTAGGACCTGTTTCTGAATATCAATTCAGGTTTAGTGTAAGCAAGCAAAGTTGAACAAAGTCAACCAAAATGAGTGAAATTCCACTTTTCGTCTTTGTCTTAGGACTGTGACGTGATGCTCATCAGCTCAAGTTGAGTGGACCTACTTCCATCTCAAGAACACCACAATGAATGGTACCAGGAAGTCCAGATCCCCTTTGGTTTATCCAGGGATTATTCACAATAGTTCACGGTAGAGAAGGCGCCCCCTGCCTCTGGGGCTCATCATTCTGCAGTGCCTCCAAAAGCCCACAATGCCCTTCTTTGTTATGAGCCAGTCAGGTGGACAAAGAGAGTCCGTGCACCATTAGTAAGTCTCCAGAAGCTCCCTGCACTGGATTGTGTCCTAAAAAAATAATAACTTCTAATTTAAAAATATCTGAAAACACCTTGAATGTGTATCTAATGCTCAGTGTTTGGTAGGTGGCAGTCATGAGAACAATCTTCATGTAAAAGTAAGGGGTATCAGAAGGAAACTTGTACCTGTGGGATAATGCTCGTTCACTGGCCAGTTGTCCACCTGAAGCGTGGCATTGCCGCCATTCCTGGTGAAGCGTACCACGTGGTATTTGCCATCATTTACCGGGGTCCGCTCCTCTTTGATGGAGATGTCAACAGTGCCGATATTGAAGACGACTCCAATTTTCCCGTGCTCCTGGAATAAAGAAACACAAAGGCGAAGGTGAGCACCACCAACCAGGTTTGCTCGCTTTAAAGTTGATCCTCCAATTAGAAAGAAACCACCAGGTGCGCGCGCAGAGGACACTGCCAGCATGGAGTTAATAAGAGTGCCCTACATTTCTCCAAGGGCCTTTATTCTGAACAGAATGGTACAAAGCCACCTAAATTGCTCTCACAGGCGGCACGACACAGGTTTCATCAATTGATAGCTCTTAAAAGAGTTAGGCCACCAACCACCTAACTACTGGGCAGTGGCAAGGCAAAGTTACCTTCTGCGGAAGGAATTATGCCTGTTGTGTTTAGGAGAGGACCATCAGACCCTGGGGCCTAGATCTTCCAAAAGTCAAATGTAGGATGCAAGAGGAAATGTGAGTGGGCCTACACATGTTGGACTCCTCATAAACCAGAGTGTTCTCGATAGGAACTCGTGGGTATAGAATGACTTAACGTGCTAACGACAGAGGCACCGGTGCAGCCTTCTAAAGCAACTCCTGATGAAACTTTCTTCAAGCAAAGTTCTCGTAGAAGAAACATCTTGAGTGGAAGCCACTGAGATGAAGCTGGTGTTTTAGGGTCAGAGGTCTGTCATTTTTCCCGTACTTCTAAACCAGCGGTTCTCAACCTGGGGGTCACGACCCTTTCCCAGGGGCCACCTGATTCATCACAGTAGCAAAATGACGGTTATGAAGTAGCAATGAAAATAACTTTATGGTTGGGGGATCACCACCACCTGAGGGAACTATATTAAGGGGTCGCAGCACGAGGAAGGTTGAAAACCACTGCTCTAAACTAATCCAAAGATGGAGGCGAAATCTCCGATGATGGCCCTTTGCCACACAGCAGAAGAGAACCCCTGCGATTTTCAACGACTTGTGGGAAGGCAAAGCATATTGAATTCCAGAAGATTAACTGCGTCAATAAAGAGGATGATTATGGGGGTGGGTGGTGGTGGTATGTGTGTGACTGTGATGGTGGCCTTAGAATCCACTTCCTGGGAGCCACCAGGAAGCATTGAAGCATACATAATAATCCTACTAGAGCCTTTACTGCCTTTCTCCCCTGATAATTTGTTACTACTGATGAATAACAATCAATATTTACATTGAGACATAAAATGAGATTAATATTACTAATATGATATAATCAGCCTCTCTCGACCTCTTAGAATGCAATCTTCCCACTGCAGCGTATGGAGAGGAATGGACAGGGAGAGAAACTTGACATCTCTCTGATGTTCTCTAATTGTCTGGCCTATGGGTTAGACAATAGCATTGACATTCAAGGATAATAAAATTTAGTTGTTATTCTAATAGTCTATAAGCCTGAGTAACAGTCCTTTTGCACAATCTCTGCAATCTATTTCCATATTCAAGAAATAGAATATCAAAGACCAAACTCACTGCCATTTACCCAATTCTGACTCATAGCGACCATGTAAGACAGGGTAGAACTGCCCTGTGCATCTGTGGCTGCAACTCTTTACAGGAGTCAAAAGCACCATCGTCCTCCCATGGAGAAGCGGATGGTTTCAAACTGACAAGAAAAACAACAAAGAAGAAGTAGCACAACTTCAGAATTTAAATAAACTAAGATCTGGAAAAAAAAATTGCTGAAGCTCCAGTTTAGTCATTTCGTTATTCACTTATTTAATTCAGAGTGGAATTATTTTTTAAACACCTCCTATGACTAAAGTCCCATCACTCATCATGTCGGTTTATCACGGTGGCCGGTGTGTGGTTGTGACAGGGCAAGCTAGGCCATCAGTGTCGGAAGAACCACCGGAACTGCCCAGAGTGCACAGCTTTCAGCAGAACTTTCCGAATAAGACGGATTAGGAGGGAACACCTGGTGATCGACTTTCAAAAGCTAGACAAGGAAATCACATAGATCATCACAGAGCATGGTTCCCATTGCTTGCTTTCGATACATTGTCAGGAGGGATTGAGCCTCCAGGGAAGATATGTCAGGTGGAGGGAAACCCTCAATGACCTGGATTTATACAATAACAAGAACAATGGGCCCAAATATGCTAGTGGGTCGTGAGGATGTTAGGGGTCCAAATTCTATTGTATTGAAGCTCACCATAACTGGAGCCTACTAGATGTCAGCCATCTATCAGTCTACGTCTACATATCTGTCTAATCATATATATATGACTAGGTAACCCTGGTGGTGTAGAGGTTATGCCCTGGCTGCAATTGTGTGGTTGGTACTTAGAAGACAACAACATCTCCTCAGGAGAAAAATGGGCTTTCTACTCTTGTAAACAGTTACAGACTCAGAAAAGCCATGAGGGTTGCGATGGGTTCGCATTGACTCAGTGAGAGTGGGTTAGTTATTTTTAATTTTAATAAACATTAAGGAGCTGGTTTTTCATATCGTTTGATACATTTATTTCCCCTAAACTCAAGTTTGCCTCAACCTGACAATTATCCTATAATCTGCGAGTGCATCTTCTTTAATAACACATGGAAATAAAATTTTGCTGAAGATTAAAAAAAAACAGTGGCAACTATAAATTCTTTTTTTTTCATGTCATACACTGACCTCTGTCTCCCTTCATCCACTTTTCTGCTGTCCATGCCCCTGGGAAGGGGCCATATTTTAATTATTTTGATCGGTTCCCCCTTACTACTATGCTCCTTCCCTTACCCTTCTAGTATCACTGATCCCCTTATTGGTCCTGAGGGGCTTATCTGTCCTGGATCCCCTGTGTTTCCAGCTCTTATCTGTACCAGTGTACATCCTCTGGTCTAACTGGATTTGTAAGATAGAATTGAGGTCATGATAGTGGGGGGCAGCATTAAAGAACTAGAGGAAGGTTGTGTGTTTCATCAGTGCTATAATGCACCCTGACTGGCTCGTCTCTTCCTTGTGGCCCTTCTGACAGGAGATGTCCCATTGACTACTGCCCTCCCCCTAGTTCCTATTGATATGAATAATTTATAAATTATCAAGGGGACATGGGGGAGGGAGGGAAAAAATGAGGAGCTGATACCAAAGACTCAAGTAGAAAGAGAATGTTTTGACAAAAATGATGAGAATATATGTACAGATGTGTTTGACAAAAATGGATATATGTATGGGTTGTGATAAGAGCTGTAAAAGTCCCCAATAAAGCAAAATTTAAAAAAATATGAGACCAAGTAAAGCAACTCATATGAACCAACCAACCAAACAAACAAACAAAAACCAGTTGCAGCTGCCAGCGTCTGAAGTGGCTGTGGAATGAAGAATATCCATTCTGATGTCCGGTGCATCTTGGATGAACGCACAGAATACCGGAAAGGTGTTTACCTTTGATTCGTTGACTCCATAAAGAGATCTGGCTATGTGGATGATAGAGAAGTACGGGTACCATTGCTCAGAATAGGCATCCCAGGACCCACACTTGTGCTGATGAGGAGCATCTTCATAGACAAAGAGACAGGCAGTCAAACAGAACAAGGGGATGCTGCATGGTTTAAAATTAAGATTCTCTGTGTGTGTCAGGGGTATAGCATTCCACCATAATTATTTAATCTGTATGCTGAGCAAATCATCCAAGAAGCTGACTATCTGAGAATGCAACATCAGGATTGGATGAAGATATGAGAATTAGCGGAAGATTCACTGACATGCTGCAATATGCAGATGACACAACTTTGCTTGTTGAAAGCAAATCGTACTTCCATCACTTGCCAATAAAGATCAAAGACTCATCATGCCTTCAGTATACACTGCATCTCAACATAAAGCAAAAATCTCACAACTGGACTAAGTGTACCATGATGAACCGAGCAAAGATAGAAATTGTCAGAGTTCATTTTATGTGAGTTCACAATCAACACTTATGGAAAGAAGACTCAAGAAATAAAGTGATTGATCATATTGGGCAAACCTGTTGCAAAAGACCTCGAAAGTGGTCCAACAACCAAGCAAAGGTTTGACTTTGAGGATTCAGATGTTCCTGACCTTAGCCACGCATGCATGGAAAGCTGTGCAGTGAAGAAAGAAGACAGATTATTAGTGCTTTTGATCAAAAGGTGTTGGCAAAGAATATCGGCTATATTATGAGCTGTCGGAAGAATATTCAAATCTGTCTTGAAAGAAGTAAAGTCATCATGTTCCTTAGAGGGAAGGATGGGAGATTTTGTCTTACGCACGTTGGGCATGTTAGTCGGGGGAAACCAGTCCCCCGAGATGGATGCCATGCTTGGTAAAGCAGAAGATCAGAGAAAAAGTGGAAGAACAGTAAGGTGATGGTTTGACATAGTGGTTACAGCAGGTTTAAGTACGGCAAGTATTGTGACGATGGCGAAGGGCCAGGTTGGGTTACTTTCTGTGGTATGCAGGTTCCTGTGAGGTGGAACCATCTTGACAGCACTTAACAATCACAACATGAGTACATCGTGTGCTCACTCAAAGAGACTCATATCTCTTATGCTGATCTTAGAAGAGAAATGCAGATAGAGGAATGGTGAGATGGAATAGATCGCTATGTGAACTGGTGATGTGTGATATAAAATTGTATCTGCCGCTTCTATATTATTTTCTCTGGGAAAGCAATTTGGGAACCTTCCTAAGTGGCCATGAAGCAAACATGTTTTCTTAAATCTGCTTTTGTTTGTCCTGAAATCTCTAAACCTTCAGAACTAAGGAAAATACTCTGTGTTATATTAGACTGGATGGATAAAGAACTGCATAACTTTTGCATACCCACAATTAACATTGTCTTGGTTCATTTTGCTCCTTCTCTGTGATTCTAAGGGAATTCAGAAATGCCATGACTTTCAGTAAAATAATTGGTTTTCAATTCTAAAGATATGCATGTATATATGTACACACACACACACACATATTTGGTATGTAATCACCCTAATGTCAAACAAGGCTATGATAACCTGAGTTGTTAAGTGTTTAGCAGAATGAATGGGACTGAAAGAGTTTAAAAAACAACAATTAAAAAAATGGCTGCAGACGCCATTTGCCACC